GGCTGTGAGCAACCTGATGTGGTTAGCGGTGTCCCTGCTCCTGCAGGGGGGTTGGGCTGGGTGGGCTCTAGGGGTGCCTTCCCACCCAAAACATTCTGTGATTCTATGATTCTATGCTAAAAAGGCTTTATTAACTGATATACAACGAAGGGGGTCATGCGGTAAATTCCCAGCTTATGTCCTTTAACACCCAGATTAGGATGAAAGGTAGATGGTACTAAACTTCTAAAAAAGAAAAAAAAAAAAGAAATCACACTTCCCTTCCCGGGAAGAAGCCAAGCTTTCAGAAATCCGCTCACACAGCAGCCAGCTTAGGCTGCTACCTAGCATGCCTGACAGACCTTCTTCACTTGAACCTGTTTTGATCTGGAAAGAAAAGATTTCTGCGCTTTCGATTCACACCAAAGCCCAGAGAGACCAAAAAAGAAGAGTTGCATGGAAACCGGTGACCTTTGGCTGACGCCTCCTACCAGCAGTACGGTGGTGCAAGAAATGGAGCAACTGTAAGCACTGCATTTACTGGAGCGTTTGTAAGCCCAGGAGAAATTCTTGCTGAGGATGCTTACGCCCCAGCCGAGATTGCTTTCCCACCGAAGCTCAGCCTACCCAGAAATCGGGGAAGCGCTCACGTCACTGCAGCAGCACCCTCCAAATGCCGGCTGTTTGGCAGGCGCCCCGGCTTTTGTGCTGTTATGGCTGCTTCAGGCAGGCTAGCGGGGATATTGGCAAGTGGTCCCGAGTTGCCGGCTACCCGTGGGGACTTGCCATGCCCTTGCACTTCGAAAGGCGACGCGAAGTGTGCATCAGGAGAGCACGTTGCAGGCTCAACGAGGGGCCCTGTCTCTGCAATGGGCTTTAAGTTAAAAACCAAGAATACCTGCCAAATGAGGCACCTCTTTAGCTTCGGAGGGAATGGAATTTGTCCCTAACGAGAGACTTGGGGGGGGGGAATGGGGTCACCACGGCAGCCCCGGCGGTGCGAGGGGCCGAGGCTGTGCTCAGCGCACCCAGGTAAGGGTCACTGCCCAAAAAGGGACGTCAGGAACACGAAGGCGCTTCAGGACCCCAGCATCGCCCGCTGGGGGCAGCTGGTTTGGTCGTGCCAGC